GTACTGGAAGGCTGCTCTGTGGTCACCCCTGAACCTTCTCGTCTCCAGGCTGAGCAGCACTAACTCTATCAGCCTGTCCTCATAGGAGAGATGCTCCAGACCTCTGATCATATTCATCATGCTCTGGACTTGCTCCAGCAGGTCCCCATCCTTGGTGGCCCCAGAGCAGGATGCAGGCCTCCAGGTGGAGGAGACCTCCAGGTCTTACCAGAGCAGAGTGGAAGAATCACTTCCCTTGGCCCATTGGCCTTGTTCCTTTTGATGCAGCCCAGGATGTGTTTGGAGTTCCAGGCTGCAAACACACATCGCCAGATCATGCTGAGCTTCTTGTCAACCATGGTGCCCAAGTCCTTCTCAATCCATTTTCTGTTGAGCCTGTATTTGTCCTCAGGATTATCCTGACCTACCTGCAGGACCTTACACTTAGCCTTGCTGAACTTCATGAGGTTTGCAGGGGCCCACCTTTCAAGCCAATCTAGGTACCTCTAGATGCTATCACTTCTGTCAGCAGGTTAGCCACACCGCGTAGCTTGGTGTCATTAGCAAACTTGCTGAGAGTGCATTCAATCCCATTGTCCATGTCACCAATGAAGATGTCAGAAAGTCCTGGTCCCAGTATAAACCCCTGAGGAACACCATTCAACACCACTGTCTTCAATTTTGATGTTGAGTCATTGACCACAGCTTCTTGAGTGAGACTATCCTGCAAATTCCTTATTGACCAAGTGGGCCATCTGTCAAATCCGTGTGGCTCCAGGTTAGAGACAAGGATCTGGTGTGGGATAGTGTCCAGTGCTCTATGAAAGTCAAGGTACATGAAATGTTGCTCTCCCCTTATCCACTAGTGCTGTAACCTGCATTAGAGAAGACCACCAAATTTGTCAGACACAGTTTGCCCTTATAAAGTTATGTTCGCCAGTCACAGTGTTTTCCAACTGCCTTAGCATGATTCCAGGAAGATCTATTGTGTGGTCTGGCTAAACACTGAGGAGAGACTCCCATCTCTGGGAAACCTTACTGGACATCCATAATGTTGAGCAAGAAAAACCCTTTTTTGCATATCAAAAGGGAAGAAATCAATGAAAATAAGAGTCAAAGTGTAATTCCTCCAATATATATTCCCTGACAAGCAAACCTAGTGGGTTGCTGGTGAGAGGGTATGGGTGTTCAGAGGGTCTGTTCAATGAGATTGCAAGCACATGCTTTGATAGTGGCCTGCTTGGCAGCTTGATATAGCTCTTTGTTGTTCCCTGGTGGTTCCAAGATGGTCTCTGTAATTGTTGGGGGGGCAGGTCTGGAGTCTGCTCAGGCCTAAGAGGAAAGACTTTCAGACTACAGTAGCAGTTTTCAGTCTTCCATAAGGGCTCAAAGAGGCTTAGGGTGTAAAGTATCCCATGGGATTAAATTAATATATGAACTCTAGCTCTTGTGTTTGCCTTTCAGATGCCGCATTTAGTTCCTCTTTGGTTGCTGCCTCACTTCTGGGGTGTTGGTATGTTTGTGTGACTGCATATACTGGCCTACATGTTTATTCTGCAGTATAGTATGAAATGCAGCATCTCTAATATTTATAGACCAGAAACTGCCTTGCCTCCAGCTGGCAGAGACAAAGTGCGAGCCTCATCCATGATGATGTATTCTGAGTTGCCACCAGAGTAGACCTAAAAATGTTGTTTTTTCTGCTGAGCAATGTGCAAATATGTATGAAATTGCAGCATCAGGAGTCTGATCAGTGCATCCTTCCTAGGGATCAGAGCATTTGCGTGAGGAGTTCAGTTCCGTATTTTGCTACCTTTATCTTACTCAAAATTGAGTCTTGAGTACAGATCTCCCACTTTGCAAATGATTGCTCTGGGAACTAAGGAACTGAGTATTCTTGGACAAGTCTCTCCGGTTTCTTGTTTGTTGAAGCTCTCAAGCTCTTTCCCAGACTTAATGAATATTTAATTATTTAACAGGGTGATTATGAATCCATTGCCTCGTAGTTAGAGCAGCACCAGAGAGATAGTGTTCTTTGTGAATTCCAGCAGAAGTGTTCCTGCTCTGCTTTTTTAAAGAAATGGAAAATGAGGAGGACTGTATGATTGAGAAAATTATATGACCATTCTAAATTAAAAATAGTTACTTCATTGATCTGGAGGGGGGATTGTTCAGAGGATACCTTATTTATGTATTTATTTATTTATCACAGAATATACATAAGTATACAGGAAAAACCACAGCTCTTTCTTTTGTAATGATTTTTAATCTTAAAGCACTTCCAGGATTGGCACCAATTTTTGGCAGATTGTCTCTAGTTTTGCAGATAATCTGTGAAAGAAATGTTTGCTCTGAGCTATTTGAAAGGTTCACAGATGAATGTCTGTTTGCTTGAACCTTTGCTTTGGTGACTCTTCCTGCAGCATTCCCTCCATACAGCATAGTCAGTCCTATGTCCCATGGCAGTTCTGGTCCCCAGGTGCCCAAGTTGCAAATTCACAAACAGCTTTTTTTTTTTTTTTTGTAGCCACTAGAAACTTACTCAGCAAATATTCCTGACTTACTTAATATCTGTGAAGAGTAGGGTTTGGGGTTTCTTAGGGTTTTTTTGAGGGCAGAAAAAGTTACTTCAGCTGATGTTTAAGTTCCCTAACTATTTATCTGTATTTAATTGTAATATCTGACTTGGAAAGCACATGTTGTTTACATTATGCGGGTTTGTTTTTGCTTAGCATTGTTTATGTTAGGATATTTGAAAATAAATTTAGTTTACTTATTTTTTGCTTCCATCTCTGCATTACTTTTTTTTCTCAGTTTGTAAAATGTCAGTAGTATATCATGGGATTAGCCATGATAACTGACAACTCCATCTTACTTGTAGGTCTGTAGCAAGATGCTCTGGAAAAGAGCTTTTTAGTTTGTAACTTAAACCGTGTATAGTGCAGTGGAGATTGAGATGTGTTACAAGGATCATACAGACCATTATTCCTTTTCCAGTGTGTTTATAACCTTGGAATTATCCCTTTGAATCTTATCTGAAGAGTTTGTGATTTTGGGAAGACATACCTGTGGTATAGTTCTTGTGCAAATGAACCTGACCTAGTGGAAAAAAAAAAAAGAAAAGCTTTCAGCCTCTCCTACATCAGGGCCAAGACTCTCCTCTAACTTAAGCAAGAGGACTTAATTTAAAGTGAGGAGACACCTTAATTCCAGGTGACTGAATGGACTGACAAAAGTCTCCTTACGTGTAGTGAAGGTAGCTGTACTTGAATCAAAAATGGGGTATCAAGTTCCTCGTTCACAAAACTAGAGGAGTATTGATTAAACTGGTGTTTCTCTTAGGGAGTTTATTTTTCCTATAATGGGTAAGATTTTTGCTGAGGTCTGGTATTTAGGTAGTTTCCTAAGCAGTGAGGTGGGCTTTGCTGAAGCAGTGCCGCATGTGAATGGGATGGAGCTGGTGATGAGGAAACCTTAGTTGTGTAAAGACATGTCAGTACTCTGTAATGTGCATGAGATGCTGCAGGAAAAGCTTGAGACCCACTGCAGTAAAATTTCTGTCAGTTAATGGAATAGGCTTTGAATGCATTCAGTGCACTGAATAGTTGCTAACTAATGCAGGGCTGGAGGGATGAATGAAGTGGTACTGCTTTTACAAGCAGAATAGTTGTTATGTGTCCTGTTGGGACACATATCAATGCTTACTTCACACACATCAATTTGTTGACCTCACTAGAGCTCTTAACCTTCCTAGGGCTACTAATCTCCATAATATCTGAGGGATTTGGGTTAATTTTGGCATGGGAATGTGCCAAACAAATGTATCCAACTATGAGTCATCATTTTTGTAGCAGGACATTAAGACGTAGTCCCACAGTCAATGTGTCTGGCTGATACTTGCCTGAGAACTTGCAATATCTGATCTATGCTTTTGGAAGCCTGACTTTTTAAGTGTAGGAGAGACTGTTCTGAAGCAAAGGAAATGTAATACAGAATATACTGAAGCAAAGCAAGAACTGTCACTTGAATCAGATGCCATTCATAAAATAAAATCAGTGTAGGTTGTAGATGGGGTTATACATATATTACAGAATGTTTCAGTAGTACTCAAGATGCCTTGTTAAAACTGTAGTGGTGATGTTTTCAAGTTACTGACTGTTACTTCCTTTTTTGCAAGTGGCTTAACTAAAGTGTGGCACAATAAAATAAAGTCACTTCTAAAATTTATTTGAGGCACTGAATTGTGGAGGTAATGGAGAGTGATGTGAATGTCACTTTCATGTCCGCATTATAAAATGCAAAAGCACAAATGTAGTAACCACAAGGCTCTTCTTGATGTTTTAATCTTTTAAACCTTTGAAATGGTGGTGTGCTTGAAAGGGCTTCTAAATCCATTGGTTAGTCTGTGCTGTCTCGTATTGTGTTCAAAACCATAGCAGATAAAGGAAGAGTGATCAGAAAGCTTAATGCAGTAAGAGCGTCACGACCTGTTATGTAAAGCAACATTTGGCAGGGCCTTCCCAGCTGCTGTAAATGAATGTTAACAGCATTTTATCATCTGCTTTCACTGTCTTTATTACATAATCTGAATATTTATGACCCTATTAATATATTTAGCCTTGAAATTGCAATATTGAAGGAATGAAGGTTCTATAGAAGATTGGACAACAATAATTATTTTATTTTTTGCCTCATGAACAAAATTTGTGTTAATATTAAAAAGCTTTGGTTTCATATTTCAAATAAGTTTACTGAATTGCTTTACAGGTATATATTATTTATTTGCTAAACTATATATTTCTCTAAATATTGCCATAAGAAAAGTATCTTGGTGACAGAATTGCATTGCTGAACATGATTCATCTGTGTATATATAAAATACAAAGCACTAACAAGAAAGTGATGACTTTTGTTACTTGTAATGCAAGTCCTTGAATCCATTGTGATGATACTCTGTAGCTGTGACCAAACATAGCCAACCTGGACCCAGATCCAGGCTATGAGAATCACTTCCACCAGTGAGCTGCTCCAGGTTGGATTCTGGGGCAAGGTGTGGGCCTAGTTGTTACTACGAGGGCTTTGTGTGGGTGGGGGTTTTTTTGTTGGTTGGTTGGGGTTTTTTTGTAACCAAAGTCTTGGTTTCTGCTGCACTTCATCACAGACATACATGCCCTCCCTCTGTTTTGACTAGCTATGCATTCCACATCACAAGACAACAATATATTTTGTAATTAGGGTATGTGTGTACCCCGTTACATATCTGGGCACTGGTTGCAGATGCTGTCCCACTACTGAAAGCATGCTTGCCTGTGTCATGATTGTACCTGGAATTACATGTAGGATGGTAATATGCTTGGTCAGAAGATGAGTGAGGAGCTGTAAGTCATTTCCCTTGGGAGCCTCTTGGGTTATATTATGTCCCCAAACAGAAAATTACTATTTCAATAGTCATCTGAAAATTTTTAACAAGGTGGTGTGTACAGCAAGTGGCTTTCACTGATGGAGTTTACAAGTGACATTGGTATTGTGGTCCTTTACCATCCTGCAGGCTAAATAGCTTAGCTGCAGGCTCATATTTGCAGGTTGTCTACAAAAATCCAAAGTGAAAAACGAAATTTTGCATCTGAGTGAAATTAAGTTCTTGGTCACTTTTATCTTTGAGTGCAAAATCTATAGCCTGTCTGAAAGCTGTTGTCCTAAAATTCTTCCTGTTGATTGCAGGGCTAGAGTTCAAGAGATGTGGGTGTTTGTGGAGGTAGGTCCCTTTTGTTTCTAAAGGTCTCATGGGTGTCGTGCAAATCCTGTGGTGTGTTGTGACACTATACTTAACTGACTCGTAATGCTCTGTACTTCCACTCTCTCCACAGTTCAAACCTCATGGTACAGGAGGCAGCTGCAAATGACTCTAAGTGTACAAATTCTTAAAAATGTAAAGATCAGTGGTTACAGGGTGTGGAGTGTTAGAGACAGGATATTAGTTTAGATTAACACATATTTTTTAATAGTATTTTATCCCCAAACAAGTTCGTTACAGTTAAATGCAGAACTCCAAATGGACTCTCTTTGCTTGTAGGGATTAGAGATTTAAATATGCATTGTTCTTCTGGGCAACAGTATTGAGCAGTCAAGTAAGGTTCATAATAGAGCAAGAGAGCCTTTAATTAGGACAGGAGTTTCAATTGCATTTTTTTTTGCTTTGTGTAAAAAAAAAACTTGCATTAAATCAGAGAAATAAAACAATGGAGAGATGAAGGAAGTTTGGAAGAAGAACATCTATTTAGAAAGTTAAGTGCCAGGGTTAGAGTAAACCAGTAGTTTTTATTTGGGAAACTCTTAAAATATGATTTGCCTTTTCCCAATCCCTGAGCATCCAAGTCAAAATATTTTAAGGAGATATTTTTCATCTTATTCAGTGGTTTGGGGATTTTTTACTGTCTTTGATTTTTCATCCAGGAAATACCTTTATTGTAGTGTAAAATGAATAGCAATGCTTACATAGTTCTAATATGTTGAGTTAGGTGGGTACATGCATTGTAATTGCATTCTTCCCTTACTCAACTTTGTGCTTACTTTGCGTGACCTAAATACAATGCAGTGTTTCCTTTAAACATAAAGAATTATAATAAATCTTTTCTGGTATCTTCTGGGGTGTACACTGCTTTGTGTTGTTGGGGTCTTGAAGTCAGTAACCTTCCCTACAGCCTCAGCAAGTTGCCAGTGCAATAAATTATAAAACTGTCACTTTTGAGGAATAATACCTAATTAGCTTCAAGGGTTTCTTAATTTGTTTTTGAAATTACCTCTGGTAAAAAAATGCAAACTAGTCTTCTCTTTCCATCAGACACTGGTAAAAGGTTTCAAACTAGCAGGTTTGAAGCTGGCTTTCTTTTGCACTGGCTTATTTAATGTTTACTGGCTTATTATGTGCTATGAGGCAATGGAATAATATGTCTTAAATGAATTTTTTTAAGGAAAAGCTCAAAAAGATGGTGCTGGTGAATTTCGGCATCGGTCTTATGCCTGTCCTCTGCAGTTTAAATGCAAAATCCAACAATGACGAAAGACTGCCGTTGTCTGGGAAACAATTGATTCGACTCTTTGTTTGGGTAGAAGAGCTCTCATACATGACTCAAGGTAGTCCATTTCCCTAATTACCTATCTTTTTGGCTATTTTACAGCCTTCAGCTCAGTCCTATCAGGAGAACACTTTCCAGAGCAAAATCCATTAGGATTTTAAAGGATCCCTTTAAAGGACCTAACCAAATTTTTTAAATTCTGAAGAAAGCAGCTATTGACTTTATTGGACTTTGAGAAAGGGAGGACAGAACCCTTTATGTTAAATAACTGATGTGATCTTCTTTGCTAAAAATTTTATTTTGTGGAATGTTCTGCAAAAATATTCCAGTTTTACTGGGTGAGTGGCAAACTCCACTTTAAGTGCAGAACAGCATCTCAGTTGTGGAGGTGCAAAGAATACTCCATAGTAGCAGTATACTTGAAACTTACTGAAAGCTCCTGCCCTTACCCTCATCTTACATCCCCTTTGGTGCATCCCATATGAGTAATTTATTTGCCAAATAATGCTATTGTACTCCCTCCCCTTGGAACGACCTCAACTGGCATGTGGGATTCTTTACCAGGAAGGAGAGACAGGGACATTGTGTTGCATTTATAGAATGTCCTACTAAATGGCTCTTCCTGTTGCCTGACTTGATCATGACTGGTTCTTGTTTTTCACAAGGATCAGTACAGTAACTTTATGTAAGGGAGGTATTAGTAACCTGAGAGTGGAAATTCCAAAAGGTCTTTTTTTTCCCTTGAATTTCAAATAGTGCCTGTTACCTCTTCTTTCAATGGGCATTGCTGAGAAGAGACTGGCTCCATCTTCTCTCTTCCTTCCCCCTGTCCTCCATTAAATATTTTTATTCATTGTTAAGATCCACTTTAAACCTTTTCTTCTTCAGGGTGAAAATTGCTCTAGTGCTTTAATCATTTTTGTGGTCCTTTGCTGAACTCACTCTAGTACTGCGATTGGACTGGAGAGCCCAGAACTGGACACAGCAATGCAGATGTTGTCTTACCAATTTTGAGTAGGGACAAAAATCTTCCTCTACCTGCTGGCAGTGCCTTCCAAGTGCAACCTGGAAGGCTGCTAGCTTCCTTTGCCACAAGGACACATTGTGGACTCATGTTTAACTTGGTGCTCATCAAGACTTTTTTTGTCAAGCTGCTTCCCAGCCTGTACCATGTACTGGTGCGTGCAGGTGCAGAACTTTGAACTTCCCTTTGGTAAATGTTACAAGGTTCACATCTGTCCATGTCTCCAGAGTGAATGTGTACTTATGATGGATGGATTTCTGGAGCTTATTAACAAAATTCTATATAACTTAGATTACATAATTAAATTAGGGAAATAGTAGTATATAGCTATTAAAGCAATATACTGCAGTAATACTATGGGTCTTTGTGAATTAACTTTTTTGGTTAAACAATAATTATCCTCTAAACTTTTTAAACTAATCTTGCACTGAGTAATTTTAGAATAAATTCTGTAGGGTGGATTTAGTACAAGAATGTCCTAGGTTAGTGGCACATGCTGACTATAGTCTGCAAAAATTTTTTTCTCTGAAAAAACAAAAACCGAAGAAAAACAAAACCAAAAAACATCTTCCATCTTAATTGAACCCTTGAAATTTGTGCCTACAAACCAAATGAAAATGGAAACTAGATGTCTTGTCAGCAATTGCAAGCTATCAGTCACAGCTATAGATGAAAGCTAGCACGACCTACATCTGTCGTGTTGATACAATGGTGCCAGCATTACAGTTTCATTGTTTAGGTTTAGGGTCAAGCCTGTTGAGACCTCTTTTTATTCAGCTTTGAATGTATCCATTTTCATTAAGTTTTTCAAAGCTGTATGAAAGACTCAGCAGGGCAAGATGTGACGATGCTGAACTTAAGTTAGTCTTGCAGCTATCAAACTGTCTCGTAGTCACAGATGGTCACTGCGATTGTCCACACCAGTCTACCGCCAGAGCTGCTATTGAAAGGGCACAAAACTGATGGTACAAAGGGATGCTTTTTTTCCCGCCAATAAATGAAGCTAGTGTTGCTGTGAGCTGGCATTGTCGTAGGTTTTTTTGTGCAGGAGAAGAATGATTGTTGACAAACCAGTTTCCATGCTGAAAAATGCTACTCTTATTACTAAACTTAGAGATCTTGCCTTGGTTGAGTAACTGCTAATAGCAGAGTGGCATTTTGTGAACTCATTTCATTGATTACTTGGATGATGGTTGTACTGGGAAGTCTAATATTGACAGCAGTTAATGTGAGCTTCCTAAAGTAGGCACGTTTCTCTTTGGTAACTCTGTTAGAAAAATATCTCTTTGACTGTACACCATTAAAAACATCAGAGGCCTTAATTACTGCATTTCTGTGTTTAATCCTCAAATGTTAGTGTCCGTACGTATGTTGAAGGAGCTTGGACAGTTGTCTCTGAGTTAGGTAACTGTTAACCAAATATCTTGCTTTTCATGCTATCAAAATGGATAGATTTGGAGCTAGTAAATAAATCTTCCAAGTCTTTCTTATTGGCAGTGTGAATGTGCTTTTTGTTTTGTTTGTCTTTAAACAGAACTGCTTTTCCAATTTTCCTACTACCATTTTCCAAATACCTTTTCTTCCTTTCAGGGTGGGGTGACAGCCTCTGTACAAATGGCCTGCCTGTTTGTTAACAGACTGGAGAAAGTTTTTGTGAGGTTAAAACAGTTCTTGCCTGAAAGAACAATAAAAAGCAATAAAACTGATTCCTATTGTATGGGATTCTTTGTGGCCTCTAATAGATCCTTTTACCAGTGGCAAAGGGACCTTAAAGTTCAAGTGACCACAGTGATGAAATGGAGGCTTGTTCCTGGATGGGAAATGTCAAGCTTCTCTTGGAGACCAGTTGAATGACTCATCTTATAACAAAGTACAAAATAATAACAAAGTACAGTTTAGAAATCGTACTTTAATTATTATAGTATGGGGATTTTGGGGTGGATTTGCCATGCCTCTTATTTCACCAAAGCTGTCCATTGCTTAGCCTCCTGTGCTACAGTGGAGTTTTTTGCCCTCTAAGGCCCTGAGTAATTCCTGAGTTGCCTTTGTCCTTTGAATTTCATAGCTCTCTGAGTACATGAATGCTTGTTTTGTTTCTTCATCTGGCCTGTCAGTCTGTAGCTACATGAAAAGTCTTAGGTATAAGTTACAGAAGAGTACATTTCGACATGTGAGAGGTAGGGAAGCTGGTAATGTACTTAAATTTGCAGTCACAAGAATTAAATACTTCTGTGCCAAAGATGGAACTGAAAAAAATGAATATTTTTCCCATAAAATGAAAATCACGTGCAGAGGGATGTATTTGACTGTCACAGAAAGAAACTTTCAGCTTCCTTCTGGCTTGATAATTCTGTTAACAAGGGAATCTAAAGAATGAGACTTTTTGCCAGGAAAGTGATGAATATTAATGATTTTCAGATTTTGCAAGAACTGAAAGGAATTTGACACTGACCTAAAGCTGAGTCACTTGTGTAACTAATGCTTCTTAATGACTTAATGTGTCCTTGCTTCTGTGATCATGCTTTCTGCTGCCTTCCTTGGTCTCAGCTCTGGTATTATCTTCCCATTTCTGCCTTACAGTATGCTACGTGAAAATAAATCCTCAAACAAACATGATGTAAAAAATTAGAATTTCTCAATAGTGATTTCCTGGAAGCTGTGTCCTGTTTGAGGGGTGGTTTCTAGGCTTATGGTTTCCTTTCTCATAGCTAGTCTGTGTTTGTTATAATGTCAGTGTAACTTACGCTGTGCACTTTCCAGGCAAAAGCTTTTCCCTGCTCTTTCTGATGTATCAGGTGCTTGGTAGAATAAGCAATAAATGTGCTTGGGCCAAGCAATACAGGTTTCATAAGCTGAAAACCTTGTGCAAAAACAGTTGGCCTCTCCAGCCCATGGACTGTGGAGCTCTGAGGAATGGGAGCAGGGAGTGGTGGAGGTGGCACTCGGGTGATGTGGTCCCACAGCCTGACCCCTCCAATGCAAGGTGGAACCAGCCGTAGCTGCTTCAGCTGTGCCAGCCAGTCCTGGCATCTCCTGTACCTACATGGTACTCAGAAGAGTGTTTCTGACTGTGGTTGGTTCTGGGACCGTACCAACTATGGACAAACAACCTGTCAGTGAACTGGTCAGGTTTAATTAATTACTTGTTTGAATAATACTGAAAAAAACCTGTTTTGGATTTTTCGTAGTCACTGTCAGAACATCCTCCCTTTTCAGCTTCAATTTAACTTCACATCCAGAAAGAAATGAAGATCTTGTCCTGTCAAATGCACTGGAGTCAAGCAGAGCATCTTAAAGGCAGGTCCATGAGTTGTACCAACACAAGTATTTGCCATGTTTCATTTCAAGAAGTTGTTTTCTGGCTTTGCACACAAAGTCAGATTTTAAGAATAAAGGTAGAGGGAAAAATTATGACGTACAGTGTGTTCTGCTGAAGGAGTAGATCTGGACCAATTGTATCTTCTTAGTTTGGTTTCCAATGCAGCTGTAAGTTAGATGGAACAGCAAAGCTCTATAAACTGTTAGCAGATCTAAGGGGTGAGGGGTTGTTTTGGGCAGTGGTGTTTTATTTTTAGCCTTACATTGCAGTTAAAGGAAAATCTATCAGTTATCCCACAAGTGTTAAGGTATTAAATAGATTGTACTGACTGTATAAGTTTTATTGAGGTTTAAGATAGAAGCAATATCCCAGAAAAAAAAGGAGCAGATTAAGGTTTGGGTGCTTGAGGAAAACTCTTCCTCCTTTGTGAATAATTACTACTCTGCACTTCAGAAAAAAGCCAATGTTTACACTGCAAAATTAAACACATTTACATTGTCCCAGTGTCATAGAAATATTATACCAATTATCTACTTAAATGCTCAAAACTACTCGTTTTGTACTTCCTTACTAGTGGTTTAAAATGTTACTTTCTTACCCAATGCCATTTCTTTTAGAAGATGCTTGTAAAATCAAATATGCGATCCACACATAGCAGACCCTACTGTAACTATTTTGTAGATTGTAAAATTTATTTTAGATGTTCATGAAACCCAGAACAGTATAGGATTTTTTTACCTTGCCTGATGATATAGCTGAAAGCACCTGCATGACCTTTAGAGAGGTATCAAGTTTTATGACAGAATTAAAACATCTGGCAAGTGTGCTATTTCCTGGTTATTAGCATTACCATTTCCTTCATGACACCAGTTTCAAATAACCTATCCTGCATCATGGTTTCAGAAGAAAGGGAGAGATTCTACCCCAGGTAATTGTAATGACCCAGACCATTGTCATACTGACTACAAGCCTGAGGGATGTTTTAGCGTTCCAGCTTAGCCAGGAGCATGCAGGATCCTAGACTTCATCAGCTTGGGGCTGTAGCTATTATGAGAGTTTTCAGTGTGAGGAGACTTGGGAGCACTGCATCCAGAAAACCAGGAAGACAAACCTGTAGATTGCAGGTTTATATTTGTTGTTTAGGTGTCTCTTCTGGAAAATACTCGCAGAGTTGCTTAGCTGAGATGGGATTGAAATGTGATGCAGACAGGGTACTGCATATCACTGTGTGCCTCAGCCTACAATTTTAACTGCTAGGACCATTCTTCACTGGTCTTTAATACTTCCCTTATTTTATGTTCTCTTCTCTTGAATTCTCTGTCTCAAAGGTGGCTGCTGCTACTCTTTTGCCTGAAGAATGCTGGCAGTCTCACCCCTGAGCTCTTCCTCCTAAATTCTTAATCCAAGAGTCTGCAGCGTGAGAACAAGTGTACTACCTCTGCATCTCTTCCAAAAGCACTGAATTGATATGTTTGTCTATCTGTGGTGGATGAACCTTGCCCACTTGGTGTGTCTCTCTCACCACAGAAGGGTTAAGTGTCTTAGTTTTAAATGCCTTCCTGTGGTTTTGGGGTGTCTGCTATTTGGGGTAACTGCTGTTACCACCAGTTAGACAAATTGCTGCTGCTTTTAAAGCTTCTTTCCCTCCATCCCTTAACTGCCTTTCAAAAATATGCAAAATATAAATGCAAATATTTTGTGCACTACTGTTGTTATCAATGCAAACCTTTCAAGACATTCTCTTGAGGGCAATTAGCAACACCTTATTCATCAGTGTACTTGACAGTAGTCTCAGTGGCACGGGGTATGGGGAGGGGGAAACTGCATTTTTTGTAAGTGGTTTGTATCACGAAAAACTGGAATTTTGTTTGACTCCTTAAGCATGTAATTACTGCATAAATTGCTTATTAAGTTAAATTATTAATTACAGCTGGAGCTTTATATAAAACTGAGGAGTTGCAGAGAGTAGAAGACTTACAATAATACCTTTAAAGAAGTACATTGCACCTTGAAAGTGGTACATTGCAGGGAGAGCTGGAATGGGGCCCCACACTTCCTGAAGAGTCAGCCAAAACTCTGCTTTAATTTTGTCAGCCTTGCTGTGTGGTGCTGTCTGTTTAAAAGTAAAGTTTGATTTTTATTTTTTTTAAAGGTGGAGTTTAACCTTACAGTTGCTCTGTACATTTATAAAAATATTTTTTGAAAGCATGTGATACAAAAATCTCAAAATAAAAAGGCACAAGGGAACTTTTAACTGCTTGAGCTGCATATGCTTAAAGTTTATGAAAAGAAGTATTCAGGGGCAGGGTGCAGCGTTGTGTCTCGCATCCTTAACGCAGCTGCTTAGCAGCGATAAGGAAGCAATGCTCTATTCATGCTGACCTTGTTTCCAAAGAAGCCTTGTCCTGAGAACTACTGAAAATAAGGAAGAATTTCCTGTGACATGCTGCTCGTGTTGCCTTTTTAGAGGGGAGTAGAATGAAATCTCTGAGCACGACACATACTGTATCTAACCACACAGGATTTCCTGTGCTGGAATGGAAGCTCAGTGGAAGCCACGTTTTTCTCTTCCTCTTAATTCATTGAGAAAAACAGAGGTCAGCGTCATGAATTGATATTGCTGTAATTGCTGTTAAAAGCTAAAATCAGCAATTGCTAATGGATACATTGTGATGCCAAGAGAACTGCAAGGCAAATTTTCTTCATTTTGTCACAATAAGGCCTGCACATATCCTGATTACACTAACTCTCATAAAAGAAGAGCAGTGCACTTAAAAATTCCATCTAAGTGAAGGTGCAAAAAATAATGCATATATTGTCCTAGACTTCAGTGTCTTTTGGTAGTAGTAGACTTTTTGCTCTACTCAGAATTAATTAAGCTATTGATGAATTGGGAAAGACACAAAACAACAGTTGGATTTTTCCTCTGAAAACATAGAAAATATTTATTTTTCCTTAAATTAAACTTCATTTTATACTACTTTCATTAAATTAAATTCCCAGTGTTTTTCCTGTCTGTTGCTCATTTGCAGCATTATCTTCTTGGGAGGGTTTCATTTGGTTTGAATTGTAAAATTAGAACTTCCTGCTACAACCACAGGGAAGGCTGGAGTTATGCAATGGATTTTGATAGGATAGAGTGCATACATTTTTAATCTTATTTAAAATATGATCACCCTGTTTGTGGTAGATCTTCAGAGAATGAGCCAACAGCCTGTGCTTAATGGCAAGTCATTCAGATGTCCTCACACTGTGTCCTGGTACCATGCAAGCTCACTTTGCTCCAGAGCCAAGCTGACCAAGCAGCCTCCTGACTGTGCTGTGTTAATGGTGAACCCAGTGCTTTCCTGGTACTTCTTGGCTTGGGTTCAGTGCTTTCAAGTTGTTCAGATATTTTCATTTTTCCTTTAGTCCAAATAGTGGACTGCTGTCATCATGGAGTATGGGTAAGAGCATGTTTGCTGACTTGTGCTGCTTGTTGTGATTCTGCACACATCTTCTCCCCAGCTACAGCATTCTCAATGAAGACAGATTAATTCCTCTATAGTTTTTACTTTTACTCAGTAGTCTTAGTTGTATTGCTTCAATGTCATGCAGATTTGCTTGTGCTTGTGCTCATGCCCATGATTTTTTTATTATTATTATTTTATTTTTTGTCTAAGAAGCATAAGGGTTTTTTATACCTGGGATAATTAATCATTTTGCTTCTCTCTAGCAATTCTGAAACATATTACCTTAAAGAGTTCTATTGCAAAGGGGAAGAAGTCATTTCATGGCAGACCTACAGTGCTTCTGCTTGGTAGAGTCTTTGTATATCTTTATTTTCCACAGTATTCAGTCTGTTACTGCAGGGCCTCAATGTCATGAGACCCAACAAGAGGTATGTGTGAAAAGCCTATATGGATGGACTCAACCTACTTTTAAGCACAGTCCTGTTTGCAATACTTCCTATTACATATACCAGTATAGAACTTCAGCTGTTTCTATGTGATGTCTCTGCAGATCATGCTTTATTTGAGTCAGGACTTACATTTGTATGTTACTGAGGGAATACTTGGATCTTGTATTCTCATTTAAGTGATTGAATATTTTAACATCAAATCAAAATCATAAGAGGAAAACTATTAAGGAATTTTTGTATAAGTTTTACATGAAGACTTCTTTCTGTGCTACTTCACATTTATTTTGATTGTGTACTTATGTTAAAATCAACTGCAGAGTACTGCTCTGTTCTGCAGACAGATGGGTGTTTAAACAGTTTGCAGAAGGAAATAAAACTTATAGATCAGAATGTTTCCTCTCAGCTGGATGGTCTTTTAAGTAAGGCAGAATTTAAAGGCACTTCTAAACAAATTGCAATGTGTTTTTTCCTCTCTTTCCACAATCCCTACATTCGCCCTGGATAATTATTTGAATAAATGTTCTACTTACTACTGAAGTTGGGTAGTTAAAGAGGGAATTTGATCTCTTTTGAATTCACTGTAACATAGATATATACACATATATACACATATATGCAACTATCTAGAGTTGCATAGAGGTTGCATACAGGAAATGTAACAGATTCTCAAAATACATTTTACTCAAAGCACAGGGTATCATAGGCTTTTAGAGTGACAGCAACTTAAAAATACTATATATCTTGCAGCATATATGGGAATTGAGGTAGTTTTTCAACCTCACATCAGGATTTTTCACCTTTGCTTTTCATATCATACTGCATGTTACACTGAGGGTGAGGATGGTAGCGTACACTGTTCAACAAGACTGCAGGTGTGTTGGCCCAGCAGGAATAGTTTGGCAACTTAGGGGGTAGGTCCTGGAAGTACTTCATTGATAGGAATAAATTTTTCCCAACCCTTCCAAGGGTCTTACTACTTTGGATACCATTTCCATGCATCCTGTTTCTTTGGTCTCCAAAGGAATCATATGTCCATTCACCAGGTGAATATCTTCCTCCGAATGACATTTT